GAAAGTCAACTATTTACATAAGAAAGGCATCACCAGGCAACAAAACCACTCGTAACTACAACCACAATAACGAATACATAATTATTTTGTCTTTCTCTCATTAGCGTGAGAGTCGTTTCTTGAGGTGTGGGTTGTGTTGTATGTTGTGTTGCTGGATGTGGTTTGTTTGTTTGTTTGTTTGTTTGTTTATGTGTGGAATTTGTTTTGGATTCACTTTCGATTTGTGAAAGTGCGGTGTTGGGAAGGTCGTGTGAGTTTTGTTTGTGGAATTTGTTTTGTGGAATTTGCTCTCTCTTTTTGCATCTCTCCCTATCTCTATCCTTCTCTACCTATCTCTCTCGTTCCCTGTCACCTCCATTTTCTCTCTCTCCTTCCCCTCTCATCTCCGTTCTCCTCCCTCTCTCTTCCCTTCCCTTTCCCTCCTTCCCTTCTCTCTCTCTCTCTCTCTCCCTTCCCCTCTCCTCCCTCCTTCCTTCTCTCTCTCTCTTCTCTTTCCCTCTTACCTCCTTTTCTCCCTCCCTCCTTCCTTCTCTCCCTCTCTCTTTTCCTATCTTTCTCCCTTCCCCTCTTACCTCCCTTCTCCCTCCCTCCTTCCTTTTCTCCCTCTCTCTTTTTCCTATCTTTTCCCTTCCCCTTCATTCTCCCTTCTCTCTTCTCCCTCTTTTTCTCCTCTCTCCTCTCTCTTTCCCTCTTACCTCCCTTCTCCCCTTTCCTCTCTTCCCTCTTACCTCCTTCCTTCCCTCTCTTTCCCTCTTCTCCTTCTCCCTCTCTTTTCCGTCTCATTCCCTCTTACCTCCCTTTCCCTCTCTTTCCCTTTACTCCCTTCTCCCTCTCTTTCCCTTACCTCCCTTCTCCCTCTTTCTTTCCCTCTTACCTCCTTCTCCTCTTTTCTTTACCTCCCTTTCTCCCNTTATGACTCTCTCTTTCTATCTACCCCCTCTCTCTCTCTCTCTCTCTCTCGTCTCTTCTCTCGATGCTCTCTCTCTCTCTGCCCTCTCTCTCTTTCTCTCTCTCTTCTCTTTGCTCTTTTCTCTCTCTCTCTCTAACTCTATCTATTCTATTTATTTATTTATATCATCTATCTTGTTATATATGCATATATATTAGTATCTATATATATGCATATATACTATATATATATATAGTATATATTATATATTATATATATTATATATATTATATATATAATCTATCCTATCGATCTTACTTTCTTCATCCCCTTCTCAAAATTCTGATTTCTCCGTAAGATCATTCCCCATCTTTCTTCTTCTCCTTCACCTCTTTTTCCTCGTCTTCTTCATTTTCGTCATTTTCCGTCTTCTTCCTTCTCCTCTCTTCTTCTTCTTCTTCTTTATCCTCATCTTCCTCCTTTCCCAACTCCTCTTTTTCCTTCTCTTCCTCCTCCTCCTTCTCCCTTTCCTCCTCCACGATCTTCCTCTATCCTTCTCCTTCTCATGTTTTCCTTTTCCTCCTCCTCCTTCTCTACTCCTTCTCCTCCCTTTTCCTTCTCCTCCTATCCGCCCCAACTTTTCTCCCTACCAGTCCGCTATCACTAATCTTCTAATACCTAAGCTAAACGAAAGGAGATTTGCACTCTCTCTCTCTCTCTCTCTCTCTCTCTCTCTCTTCTCGTCTGCTCTCTCTCTTCTCTCTCTCTCTCTCTCTCTCTCTCTCTCTCTCTCATCCTCCCTCTTCTCTCTCTCTCTTGGCTCTGCCTCCCCTCTCTCTCTCTCCGCCTTTCTCTCTCTCTCTTTCTCTCTCTCTCTCTCGCTCTCTCTCTCTCTCTCTCTCTCTCTCTCTCTCTCTCTCTCTTCTCTCTCTCTCTCTCTCTCTCTCTCTCTCTCTCTCTCTCTCTCTCTCTCTCTCTCTCTCTCTCTCTCTCTCTCTTCTCTCTTTCTCTCTCTCTCATCTCTCTCTCTCTCTCTCTCTCTCTCTTCTCTTCTCTCTCTCTCTCTCTCTCTCTCTCTCTCTCTCTCTCTCTCTCTCTCTCTCTCTCTCTCTCTCTCTCTCTCTCTCTCCTCTCTCTCTCTCTCTCTCTCTCTCCCTCTCTCTATCTCTCTCTCTCTTCTCTCTCTCTCTCTTCTTCTCTCTCTCTCTCTCTCTCTTCTCTCTCTTCTCTCTCTCTCTCTCTCTCTCTCTCTCTCTCTCTCTCCTCTCTCTCTCTCTCTCTCTCTCTCTCTCTCTCTCTCTCTCTCTCTCTCTCTCTCTTCTCTCTCTCTCTCTCTCTCTCTCTCTCTCTCTCTCTCTCTCTCTCTCTCTCTCTCTCTCTCTCTTCTTCTCTTCTCTCTCTCTCTCTCTACTTTCTCTCTCTCTCTCTCTCTCTCTCTCTCTCTCTCTCTCTCTCTCTTCTCTCTCTCTCTCTCTCTCTTCTCTCCTCTCTCTCTCTTCTCTCTCTCTCTGCTCTCTTCTCTCTCTCTCTGCTCTCTCTCTCTCTCTCTCCTTGCTCTCTTCTCTCTCTCATCTCTCTCTCTCTCCTCTCTCTCTTCTCTTCTCTCTCTCTCTCTCTCTCTCTCTCTCTCTCTCTCTCTCTCTCTCTCTCTCTCTCTCTCTCTCTCTCTCTCTCTCTCTCTTCTCTCTCTCTCATCTCTCTTCCTCTCTCCCTCTCTCTCTCTCTCTCTCTCTCTCTCTCTCTTCTCTCCTCTCTCTCTCTCTCTCTCTCTCTCTCTCTCTCTCTCTCTCTCTCTCTCTCTCTCTCTCTCTCTCTCTCTCTCTCTCTCTCCCATTCTCTCTCTCCCATCTCTCTCCTCTCCCTCTCTCTCCTCTCTCTCTCTTCTCTCTCTCTCTCTCTCTCTCTCTCTCTCTCTCTCTCTCTCTCTCTCTCTCTCTCTCTCTCTCTCTCTCTCTCTCTCTCTCTCTCTCTCTCTCTCTCTCTCTCTCTCTCTCTCTCTCTCTCTCTCTCTCTCTCTTCTCTCTCTCTCTCTCTCTCTCTCTCTCTCTCTCTCTCTCTCTCTCTCCCTCTGTTTATCTGCTTATCCATCAATCTGTTTACCAAGCTATCTTTTTATCTAACATTCTCTTCTCTTATCTATCGCTTCGGAATCTGGAGAAGGGTGACTCACCGATAACCGTTTTTATTTAATATTTCGCTTCCGTTCTTCGTTATCACTTTCTGTTCTATGTTCAGAATTATCATTATTGATATCATCATTAACATTATCATCCATATTGGTATTATCATTACCATTATCCTCATTATTGGTATTATCATTATCATTATGATTATCATTGGTATTACCATTATCACAAATATCGATATTGGTATCATCATTATCATCATTATTGGTATTATCTTTATCATTATCATCATTACTGGTATTATCATTATTATTGGCATTATCATTATCATTATTGGTATTATCGATATCATTATCATCATTATTGGTATTATCATTATCAAATTTCATCATTATTGTATTATTATTATCCATTCATTATAGTGGACCATATCATATTTATCCATTATTGTATTATCATACATTATCATCATTATTGGTTATTATCATTATCATCACCATTTTATTGTTGTTGTCATTTTGATAATCAGCATTCTTAGGTAATCATGATCATTAATATTATTCTATATTCCTTTGCGTTGTGCTGTCTTCTTCTTTGACTTACTGTCGTTTACATGTTCATCTAACGATTATCGTATCTCGTGTTGACGTTACTGATATCTTTGTTACTGTTATATTTCTGTTTATCGTTATTGTGCAAGGGCTTGGTTTATATTCATTATCACCATCAATGCTTCTCGAATATCCTATTATCTTTCATATTTAACGCCCACTGATAATCTAGAAGTTAATTCAAGTGGCCAGTGTTGGTGGTTCCTTACATATCTTTAAGGGGGAATCAGCAGACGCTTGCAAATGGTTGTTTTCCCTGATGTTGAAATTACGCAAAGTAGATTTTCTTCTTTCTTTCTTTCGCTTTTTTTTTTCTTTTTTGTTTTTTAGTTTTTTTTTTTTTTTTGCATTTTTTCTCTGTCTGTCTTCTAACTTGCTTTTTTCCGTTTTCTCACATTCTCTCTCTTTCTTCTTAATCCTTTCCGTCTTTTCCATCTTCTCACCTTATTTCTCTTATTTCTTATCTTTCTCTCATTCTCGATCTATTTCTATTTCTCTCTCCCCTTCTTCTTCTTTCATCACCTTTCACCTTCATCTCTATCTCATCTCATCTCATCTCATCTCTCATCTCTCTCCCTCTCTCTCTCTCTCTCTCTCTCTCTCTCTCTCTCCTCTCTCTCTCTCTCTCTCTCTCTCTCTCTCTCTCTCTCTCTCTTCTCTCCTCTCCCTCCCTCTCTTTCTCTCTAATCTCTTCTCTCTCTCTCTCTCTCTCTCTCTCTCTCTCTCTCTCTCTCTCTCTCATATATATATATATATATATATAATATATATATATATATACCATCCTCTTTCCCTTTAAAATTCTTTCTCTCTCTCCTCACCTTCTCAAACCTGCACCTGCACAGGTGTTCAAGTCAAATCTGTTTTTTTTTTTTTTTTTTTTTTTTTTTTTTAATGTTGCCAAAAAACATTCATTTTTCGGGGTATGAGTTGCCATCACATATTTTTCGAGGAAACACACACTCCATCATAAACCCAACCACAAAGGCTCGCAGTGACTAACCAATTTTGATTACAGCTTGATATGCATTTACTGATAAGAAGTACACACAAGCAAGATAGGTATATGCAATGCTGTTCTCTTAAATATACACGCACGTACATGGGCATGTAAACGAGATGGAGAGCCGAGACACAAAGACTGAGAAAGAAGAGAGAAAGAGAAATAGAGACAGATACAAAACCAAAAAACAGAGAAAGAAGGAAGGAGAGAATGAGAAAAGAAGACGATAATCAGAGAGAAAAACGGATCGGTCTTTTCCCGCGACAAACATCCGGCGATACGGCGAGGGCGATAGGAGATAAGCGAGCGCACTGGAGCCAGCCATATGCCAGCCAGTGCGTCGAGAGCCGTAGCCAAGTGCGTGTGTCACC